TAGCAGGAAGCCTGCTTCTCCCTCTCCCACTCCCCCTGCTTGTGTTCCCTCTCTCGCTGTATCTCTCACTGTCAAATAAATAAAATCTTTAAAAAATAAATAAATAAAAATGAAAAAATAAAATATACCCAAATCTGACTGTTTCTCCCCACATTCACCATTACTATCCTGGTCTTAGTCACCAGTTTTTCCTTGGATTATTGCAGTAGTCTCCTAACTGTTCTTCCTGCTTCTGTTCTTCATTCCCTGTAACATTTAACAGCCTTAAAGAAGTCATACAGAAGCTAGGGTGATCCTTGTAAAATATAAATCATGTTAATCCCTCTTCAGGATCTTTTAATGACTTTCTTTCACACTTGAATATATTGTATTTTTTCCTGTGGTCTGCAAATTCATAATAGACCTATCGTCTGGCTTTTTCTCTCTTCTCATTTTTTAGTACTCTTCCTCTCACTCATTTAGTTCCAGCCATATGGTCCTTGCTTTTCCTAACATATGCCAAGCATGTTCACAGTGTCTAACAGCTAGCAGTCTTCCATGAGAAATTTATGCTTTCAAGTGTTTCACTAGCTTCTGTGATCCCCAAATAAATGTAGTGTCATGTTTTGTTCTGTAGATTTAGGCTCTGAAAAACAGAAGCTATTTCTTTTGATTATTTGGGCCTCAAGGATGAGTAGAATTCTTGTCCAGTTAATTACGTAACTTAATATAACTAGTACTTACGTTTTAACCTCATAAAGATTTGTTTAGCCTACAGATTTCTTGGGTGATAACTAGCAAAATTTCAAATTCAAATTAGATGCTTTGTTAGAAATTGCTGTCTCTGAGGAAGCTTTAAATCTCAAGTGCATTTTCAAATAAGGATAAAAAATTTGTTTTTAATATATGATAGATACATGTGCTTCAAAATTCAAAAGATACAAAAGGTGTGCTTTGAAAAGTTGGTGTTTCTGTTTTCTAGCTACCCAATTATGATATTCATAGAAAACCAATGAAAGATATTTTTATGTATAAATAATTATATACACACATAATTTTTTGAAAAATATATCAGTGATAGCCTAATATGTATATATATTTGTCACTTAGATATTTTTACTTAATTAACCTGGGAAACTCATATAAAGCTACCTCGTTCTCTTTATGACCACATAATATAATATTGTAGGTGTGTATTGTAATTAATTTAGCCTCATTGATGAATAGATAGACTGTTTCCAGTCTTTGCTGCTATAAATGTTTTTTCATAGTACTCTTACAAGATTTTATCTATAGGACTAATAAAACATTATGTTAACTGTACTGGAATTAAAAAATGAATGAAGATTATATCTGTAGGATACAGTCTTAGAAGTTGAAATGCTGGCTCAAAGGTATGTGTATTTAAAGTATCATAAATATCGCCTGGTTCTTTATTAGGATTGTACTAGTTTATACTCCTACCAATTTGACTGTAGCAGTTGGCAAACTTTTTCTTTCAAGGGCCAGATAGTAAATATTTTAGGCTTTGCAGCTCACATATGGTCTATGTCACAAACTCTTCTTCGTATATATTTTTTGGCTTTGGGCCAGTGTCTGGCAGCTTTGGCCTATATCATAGCTGCCAGGCTGTTATCAAAACCTTTTGTCATTACCAACTTGCTATGTGAACATGGTATCTCATTGAATTATTAATTTGCATTTCACTTATAAGCATAGCTCATCCTTCATGTTTCCTTTCCTGTGAAATGTTCATTCAAATCCTTTTATATGTGTATTTGGTTGTTTGTATTTTTATTGAGGTATAAGAATCTTAATCTTTTATTCATTAGAGAAATGACCCTTTGTCATAGAATATATGATAAAGTCTTTTCAACCAGTTTATCTTTAATCTTTTGGTTTGCTTTGTGTTTTCTTCTCCTTAGGAATTTTTTTTTTTTTTTTAGGATTTATTTATTTTAGAGAGAGAGCGAGACAGTACATGAGTGGGAGGAGGGGCAGAGGGAGAGGGAGAGAGAGAAGCAGAGCATGGAGCCCGACGTGGGGATCAATCCCATGACCGTGAGATCATGACTGGAGCCGAAATCAAGAGTTGGACACTCAACCAATTGAGCCACCCAGGCACCCCTAGGAATTTTTTCGTCACATTTGATCTGTTGTTGTTTTACTCAATAAATTAGTCTTTTATTCTAGATTTTATGTCATTTTTAGAAAGGCTTTTCCTCAGTTTAAGACTTAAAATAATTTTTCCATTTTTTTATATTAGTATTATGTTTTTTTTTAAGATTTTATTTATTAGAGTGAGAGTGAGAGCACTCGCGAGAGAGCACAGTGGGGGGAGTGGAAGGTACGGGAGAAGTGGGGAGTGGAAGGTACGGGAGAAGCAGACTCCCTGCTGTGCAGGGAGCCTGACATGGGACTTGATCCCAGGACCCTGGGATCATGACCTGAGCTACCCAGGCGCCACCTTAAATACATCTGGAAATTATTTTGACAGGAGTTAAGGATCCCCTTTTTCCAAATGGTACCCTTTTCTCCCAATACCATATCCTGAAGTTAAATGTAGTGATTTTGGAAGTTCCTTGCAATATTACTTTTTACTGTTGACTTCTCATGTACTAATAGAATTTAGATTAAGCTGCTGACCACATGAAATGCATATTCTTTCATCATTAACAGTTACTGAGCATGTGCTATGTGGTCTGGTACTAAGGATAAAATCTTGAGAAGGCTCTAATACCCCTGGCCTTCAGTTGCTTAGTCTGGTGGATTTATCACACCATATGTATGTGTGTGTTTTAATACCCTACTTCTGTATTCATATTTTTCCCTAATTCTTTCTTACTATGAGAATTTTCAAGTAAATAGAATAATTGAAAGAATAGTACATTTAATATCTATAATGTTGTGCATGCTCTTTCATCCCTCCCTGCTGCTCTCTGTAGTATATATGTGGAAGTAAGTTGTAGACATTCCTAGGATTTTAGCATCTGTTGTTTGATTATTATTTAATTAAGTAAAATTATGATTTTATAATTTTATTATTTCCTCCGTTTGTCTGTTTTTCTAGTTCTGAGGAGGGGGAACCATAGCTATCTTATAATCATTTCATCCCTAGAACTTAGTACAGTTCTTACCACAGAGTTGTTTCCTCATAAATATGTGATGAATGAATGAGTACTTTAGGCAGTGGGAAACTGTTGAAGGATTTCAAGGGGAAGGTATAATATGGAATGATTTATGGTTTAGAAAGATAATTCGGTGTCTTTATGGAGGAGGGTAACTTGAGGACTGTTTTTATTTGGACTTTGTATCAGTTCGGACTTGACTGTAAGTAATCCAACTCAAACCAACTTAAACAAAAAAAATTTATCCTGGATCATGGAATCCAAGGAATGATTTGAAGAACCAGCCTCATGAAGGGTTTATTTGGGCTTCGGGAACAAATAAAAACAAGGCTGTTGGTACCATGAATATTTTGTCTTTGCTTCATTCTGTTTTTATTAGGTCCAGTTTGCTTGCTCATGGATCAGTTAATGTAGTTTAGGGATAGGGCTTGCAAGAATATGGTTGCTTCCTAGATGTTCATGTAGATGTCTACAGTAAGAGATGTGGAGTGTTGGAGTGGTGCCATGTGGAGAAGATTAGAGACATATTAAGTAGTACAGTTGACAGAATTTGTCCAGAGGGAAGGAGAATTGGACTGATTCTCTTTTCATGAGCAAACTGCTGGCTTGGTGATGATGTTGATCAAGTGATGGAAATACAAGAAGAGTATGCTTGGAATGGAACATGATGGGCTTGGTTTTAGAAGTACTAAGTTGGAGATCCCTAGGGACTTAGAGGAGCTAGGTGAATGTGGAGATCTGAATCTAGGAAGAAAGGTCTAAGCTAAAGTGCTTAGGAGGTTCACAGCAAAGATGAAAGCTATAGTGGTGAGTTAAACAGTCCCGAATGTATAAAATGGGAAGAGAACTGGCATATTGAGAGCATCAACAGAGGAAGAGGTAATATGAAATAAATTAATAGACTAGTTAGAAAGATAGGAAGAAGTATAGTGTCATAGAAACTAAAAGCCTTTATTCCAGGAGGGATACGCCACCTAAGGATTGAAAAAAATCAGTTGGATTTGACCATTAGGAAATCACTGAAAATCTTAATGAGAGCAGTTCCAATGTGAAGTTGGGACCCAGGTTGCATTAAGTTCAAAGGATTAATGACTGGGAGATGAAGTAGAAACAAACCATTGTAGGCTTTTTCTCTAGAGGTTTGACTGTGAAGGAGAGGTGAATGAGGGCTGGGGAAACAAATAAGGGCCGGGAGGTTTTTTTGTTTTATTTTGGAATGAGAGAGATGTGAACATGTAGTTTCAAACAGTAAATAGTTTTTAAATTTATTCTGGCTTGGATAAATTTTATTCTCTATGTTTAAATATTTACCATTGTAAACATTAACTGCTGTCTTTATTAGAGTTAGACCAGAGACAGTGAGACTTAAGACAAGAGACTTGGGTTCTAATCTCACTTCCCCAGAATAATCACTATAATAATTAAAATTATCACTTATATTCCCTTCTGTGTGTCAGTCACTGTGTTAAAAGGCCTTTTATACATACTATCATTAATCCTCACCACAAATTAATCTCTAAGGTGAGTATTATACTGTTTGATAGATAAACCTGAGAGCTTACTTCTCAGGATCACATAGATTTTTAGTGATCACACTATGATTCCATCATAGATATGTCTGATTCTGAAGTTGGTACTTTTTTTCTGTATCACATTGCCTCCTTTCTAACCTAATATAGCTTATCAAGTTTTAGGTCCCTGTTTCCTTATCTGTCACATTGGATAGTCATATCTGTCACACCTGTATCAAAGTACTAATTGAATAGTGTGCTATTATTTTCTATATTTTGTTTGAAAAGAAAAATTATATATTTGGTTAAGTACCAGACAGACCTTATAAATGTGGTCATCTTTAGCACTATCGTTTGTCTAAACAGTATTTTACTTTTTAAGGTGGTGGTATCATGGATACAGAAATGTCTGAAGATATAGACCACAACTTAACTCCTACCCTTGACAGCATGTCTTATGGAATGCCGAATCAAACAGGATCTGAAAATTCATTGCTGGATGAAGATGATTATTTTTTGAACTCTGGGGATCTTGCAGGAATTCCAGTCGTTGGTAGTGACAATGAGGATGAACAGGATTTTAGTTCAAAGGACAATCTTGTTTCTTCAATTCATACTGATGATAGCTTGGAAGTAGAGAGAAGAGTCACACAGCATGAATCAGACAATGAAAATGAAATACAGATTCAAAATAAATTAAAAAAAGACTTTCCTAAACAGTTTGATCAGGTTTCTGTCTTTAAGTCAATACGGAAAGATTTTAGTCTAGTAAGAGAAAACAGCAAAGAGACATTTTCTGGAAAGGAGAAAAATAGAGACCTAACTTATCATGAACGTGAAAAACGGTTGGATAAACCCCATAAAGAGTTGGATTCAAGGTTGAAAAGCAGTTTTTTTGATAAAGCAGGTAATAATTGTTGGAATAGAGCCATAAAACACAGTAAATAACAACGTACTGATAATAACATAGCTTTTATTACTTGTGATGCTAAGCAAAATATGAACAGTTAAATTCATTGTAAGCTTGTCATTTTTCTTTTATCCTTGTTCTTTGCAGAGTGACTGAATTTCTCCCAGTAACTTTTGGTAATGGTAAAAATGATTGAAAAATAGCTCTAAACCTCATTTCTCCCTCCCCTGGTTGCAATATTTTGATGAGAAGGCAAGATACTCAAGTCACCTGTTCATTTTCTTTGGTTGAACATTGGAACCTGAAGTTGGATTTAACTTCTTTGTGCTGTAAGCACTAATTCAAACTGCTGTCCCACAAATTAGTCCAACTTAGGGAGGGTTTTTCTATTTGATAACATTTCTATTTTATGTTTTAGAAATTTCTTGAGGCCCCCTCTTGAGCCTCTTTGCCCAGTGTACCCCATACTGTAGCTCCAGTTCCATTCTTGAGTATGTCACATATTTTCTTATTTCTTTGCCTTCTTTTCCCCCTGCGATTCCATTTGTCTGTATGTCCTTTTCTTTCTTTGTATATATGCTTGTGAAAGTTCTTCTAGCCAACAGTGCCTAACTCATAAACCTCTTCTACTCTGTAGTCATCCCTAACGTCTCTACATGAAGAATGAATTGTTTATCTATATTTCCATAGCATTTTGTTTATACTTCATTGTTTGTAGTTCTTACAGTATTATACTTCTGTATTTGTTTTGCCTTACTTACCAGCGTAGGAGTTTATTGAGGACCAGATTGTATCTTATTCATCTTTGTATTCTTGGGGCCTAACCTGGTGCAGTGAAAATAGTAATATTTTAATAAATGTTTAATAGATGTGAAGGAAAGCAAGGTATAATATAGCAAACCTTATATTTTTTCTGACAATGCTGGGAAAATATGGTAGAAAGAACAAATCAGTATTATTAAAAAGAACAGTTAGTTTACATATCTATTATGTACCAAGCTATACAAGGTATACTATATTTTTCAATACATATTATTCAATATATATTTTTGATATCCCTACATGGGATAAATTATGAGGGTATTTATCCTCAAGGAACATAATATCTAGTAGTAGAAGGGGTAAATCAAGTAGTAGAAGTGTGAGTGACCAGTTGAATAGCATAAGATTTAATTTATAATTAAAGACAATGGTAGAATTTGTCATAGGGCCATACAAGAAGATTTCTTTCAAAGAATTGAAACAGTGTTTTTGGTATTCTTAGAAAAAAGCTGATTTTTAACTCAGTGGCCAGAGAAGGTTTATGGAGGAGAGGTGGATTTTGAACTGAGCAGAATCTGGAAGACCATATAGGGATTAAGGTAGATAAAGGGGCCTTAGAATGGTATAAGCAGAAATGGGGAAGAAAAAACACAAGTAGTTTTCAGAGCATAGTGACTAAAGTAACCACTTTATTTAGGTTTGAGCAAGGAAAGTGTAAGGTGAGGCTAAAAGTAAGGTGGGGCCAGACTTTTATTTGAGTGAAACTATCTTTTGGGTATTTTTTTGGGACCCATTTCACTCTAATAAGCATCTTTATTGGACAAGAGAGGTGATTATCAAATGATAGCTTTTTAGGTCACTCTTTATAAGATTTGTTATTCATATACATGTGTTTGTTTTGTTTTTTTTTTCTTTCAATAGCTAATCAAGTTGAAGAAACATTACATACCCATTTACCACAAACCCCAGAAACAAACTTTAGGGTAAGTTTTCAGTGTGTATGTAGATTGCTGTAACTGTGGCAAGTGTCAAAGTTTTCTTTATGTCATTTTCTAAACTGTAACTATATGTGTTAGGTAGAGCACTGATTTTTTTAAGAAATTTGCTTTATTATTTGGTAAGGACATCTTTGAAGGTGTTCTGAGAAGCCTCAGCTCTTAGTTTCTTTATTGTATTTGATATTTAGACATAGATCACTTTTACTTTTAGGCATAGGGACTCTAATGAATAGCCATAGAGTTCTTCATTTCCAATGAGCTTATCTTTGGGTGTTGAACCTGAAGAGGAATAATTTTTAAATCTGAATATTTATTAATCCTTTATATTGTGTTTTAGGATTCCAGCTATCCATTTGCCAATAAAGAATCCATTGGTTCGGAACTGGGGAATTCCTTTGCATCAAATATTAGAATTAAAGAAGAACCTTTGGATGATGAGTATGACAAAGCAATGGCACCACAGCAGGGACTACTAGACAAAATTAAAGATGAACCTGACAATGCTCAAGTAAACATTTCACCTTTACTTTCCCCCTTCTTTTTTGTTCCACACATGAATTACTCATTTGAGAGAGGAAGTTCTTGATTAAGAAGTAAAGTAGTTTGTTGACAGTGTGAGAGTAGACTCTTAATGAAGGTTGAGGTAATTTGAATTATCTTGTGAGAGTAATGCTAAGGAATCAAGAATTATATGAAACTTTTCCTGAGTAGTGATTTAGGCCTTTAATCCACTTTGTTCTTTAATACCACTGTTCTGTGATTTTTACAATTTCAGTGCAAGACTAGGGAAAGTGAGTCTTTAAGGATTTGAGATTGATACAGCAGACATGGTTGTAGGTTTACAGTTGTTCATGAGTTTATGTTGTGATTGAGTTTATATAAGGTAGTAATAAGCCTTTTGCAGTTATTGCTAATGAAGTACACACTCTGTATGGATTTAAGGATTTTGGGGGGGAGGAATTAATGGACAGGTTATCTTTGAAAGAGTTAATTGATTGAAGAACCAATTAATTTGATCAGTGGGTTGAAGGTAGAGGCGGCTTTGATAGGTGAAATGGGATTCCAAATTTTGGATCTGTAATTAATCAGGGTATCAAGTTCTGCTATTTCAAGATTGCTTTGGAGGTAAAAGTTCCAGAGATCCCATAACTGAAGTCCTGAAATCAGTGAAGATATCCATGTAGTTAATGATATTACAGTAGTTGAAATGGAAGAAAAAAGTTCTTTCAGGTGCAGTAATCATTTTGGAGTATACGAAGGGGACTGAGGGATGAGTGCACAAAGTCAGCAGTTATTTGAGGGTGCCTATGTTTTACACAGATGGCATGAATTCAGATGCTGAGAAGTAAAGATAGCATGAATTAGTTATTTCTCTGAAATTACATTTGATCTGGAGAAAGGTTATCTTTCCACATGTTTCTATTGTTTTGGAGGGCTGAGAATGTTAAGACTTCTGTAGAAGAGGTTCTTTCATTCAGATGTCTGTGAGCACAGTTTCTCAACCTTGGCACTATTGACATTTGGGGCCAGATAATTCTTTGTTGCGAGGGGCTGTTCTGGGCATTGTAGTATGTTTAGCAGCATCCTTGGCCTCTACCTACTTGATACCGATAGCACCTCCACCCCCCAGTGTCTCCAGACATTGCCATATGTCCTATGGGGGGGTGGGCAAAACTGCTGTTCAGAACCACTGTTTTATAGTAAGGAGATGGAAGAATAGATACTTTGTATGAATCAGATTGATACTCAGTTAAGCAGGAATTTCTTGGTGCTCAGTGGAAGGTAGCTGTATAGGGTGGTAGTGATGATAAAGCTTTAGGAGCTGGATGGTTATGGGTGTGGTGGCAACACAGAAGATGGCAAAGTAGGAATATGAAAATAGTTAAATGCAAGGTAGATTGAAAGCATGCTAAATGTACTGATAACTTAGGAAACGTTCATGTGGCACTGTATGCTTCAGAAGACCACAAACATATCTGTATACAGGGAAGATTTCCTGTCTCTTTACATGCCCTAATGTGGACATGGGAAATTCAGAAGAAATCATAATACTGGCAGGGATCCAAAGGCATCACTCTTTTCTCTGTATGTGAACCAGTGGCACTTTCTTTAGGATGGAAAGGCAGTTATTGCAAAGACAAAATAAATACCTTCAGGGAAGAGGGCATCAGGAAGGATTATTTGTATTACTTTTTTTTAAAAAACATTCAGTGGTTCCAGTGGTTGGGGAATACCAGTAGGATGGAATTGTTAGAAACACCTACTTTTTATACACTATTCAGAGTGTACTAATGTGTTACAAAATGCCGAATATGAGGTTTCATCATGATTACAGGAAAGAACTTCTCAAAGGCACCTGATTGATTGGACTCTTCGGAACCAAGCAGGAATGTGTATAGGTCCTGGGCATAAGGTCCAGAGGCATTCTTTACCCTGACACTACAACTGAGGCAGTCCCAGCATGTGAGTGGATAAACCTAGGTTTTCTCTAAGAAATCCTTTCTCTTATTACCACATCAATTCTGTAGGATCAGATCTTTTATAATTCTTCTAGAAATCCCTCCAGGAACCTTCTGTTAAACTATAGATACCTGGTCTTTCTTTTCTTTTACCTCTTTCATTTTCCTTTCCCCATTTCCCTCCCCTCTTCTCTCCCTTCTTCATTGTCCTGTTCTTTTAAGGTATTTCTCTACCATGACCATTGGAAACCTGTATTTTTGCTGTTCAATACTGCCTAATGCTTTATCACTCTTACTCATTTCCCATAGACTGGAAAAGGGATTTCCAGTGTATTATTTTAATAGTCTCTAAAACAGTACTGTTAACATAACTTTCATAAAATACTGATAGGTTTAACAGTTGTGGTCAGGCTTTACTCTTGACTATCAATCTCCAGTAGTCTAACTTTTCTCATGATTTAATAAGATCATAGCTGTAGCTCATTGCCCCTTTGTCAAACCTCTTTTGGATTTTCTCTTTGCTTAACTTGTAGTTTTGCTTTCTGCTCACTTCCTAATTCTCCTTTTTACACAATTCATTTTGGTGTCAATTTCGTTACTTTCCATACTTTCTTTACTTTCAAAAGCACCTAAGTGTTGAAATTTGTGCATATATATTTAAAGACTTATACCCATTTGTTCTTGATTATTTCTTCAGTTATGATTTTCTGGGTTCACCAGTTGCCATCCTCCTGCCTCTGTTATTGGCCTTATATCATTTGGCCTTCCAGTTTCATTTCTTTATTCAGATCCCCATTGCATGTTACTATATTTTCTGTAATATTTTTACAGGTATAGATGCTTTTATGTGTACTATGTTGTTTTGTCTTTCTTACATAAGATGGCCATAGTAGGTGATATTAACTCCATTTGTAGATGAGGGAACTGAGGTTCATAAAGGTTAAGTTAGTTACCCAAGGCCATGTGGCCAGGAAGGAGCCCCTATGGGGCCATAATCAAGGTCTTATTATTATCAGTGACAGTCTTTATATAAATAAAAGTTGTTTTCTTTTTTAAAATGCCTAGAGAAGATTTTAAAATAGAAACTTTAAAGAGCCAGGGACCTCACTTTTCCTTTTCCCCTTTTCTATAGGTTCTAAAAGTTTGAAATTCAGTGAATACTACATTAAAGCCATGGTTTTTTTCTCCTTTTTGTTCATAACAAAAGAGCCAATTTTAATCTCGTTAAAGTAAATGAATTAGGATGGGAAAGCAGTTGTCACAATAATGAGTCATATAGTTTTAGAAAGTGGAGTGCGATAATTAAATGTTGGGGCTTTCTTTAGGTATGTCAGATTAACTTAGCCAAAGGTCTGGGTTCTTCGTTTCTATAATACTGTCTTGGGGTACTGATACGGGTCTTCCTTTATGGTAAAGGGAAGGTAAAGCTATTGATAAAGGATTTTTGTTTTGTTTTGACACCTGTTTTTCTGCTTCTGAAAGTCTTTGAGTCATCAGATTTTCACTTCTCAAGTTATTAGTCATTGTTTATAATTAAATGTTTGTAAAGTTAGTCATTATTAGGGGGTTACTGGCAGAAACATGATTCTGCCTTGAAGGCATTCTGGGGTGTATAAGTAGAGTACTTAAGGTACATACTTATTTTACTATGTTACAGAAGTAATAGGTACTTGAGGCTTAAGGAAAAATCAGAAGTTTGGAATAATTGTCATAAACAGTGAGAAAAGGAGCTGACTGGAGACCCTTAAAGTATGCCAATGAGTATTGATTTTAGGGGGAGTTTTCTGAGATGAAAAAAAAATTTTTTTTACTTGAAGTTTGCTTTAATATATAACGTAGGAATGTCAGGATGAGTCAATAATAGGAAATCTTTTAATACATAACTTCAGCTGGTCAAATAAGACTGTATGAATAGATATGTAGATGCAAAAAGACATCTCATGTAATTTACTATGCATTTCTTATAATAGATACTCTTAATCATGGTAAGGAAATATCTGCTTCAGATTAATATCAATCATTAAATTTAAGAGTAAAATGATGGAATCCTGTTAATGATTACTAAACACAAATTACTGGCGTCAGCATTATTATTTAACTCTTGGATTTTCGACCTCGTACATGTTAAAGAAATTAGAAGAAATAGTGGAAAAGGGGAGACAAAATTATCATCATTTGCTAGTAAGGATTTTTATTAGAGAATTAAGAGAATTCATGAAAGTTCAGTGAAGTAGTTAATTGAATTTTAGTTATATAAAAGAGCAATATTTCTGTAAATCATTGTTTCTCAGATAATATGAAAATATATAGTATTCCTTTTGGCAAAGCAACTTTAAAAAGTACTTATGTCAGATAAAAGACAATTTGATAGAATGGAGAGACTTTTTAAATGTAAGGTGTCAGTGATTCCTAAATTAAGATCGAGTTTCGATACAATTCTGATGAAAATATCAGTAGGTTCTGATGTTTTGAAGAATAGGCATGTACACACACAAACATTACACATGTGTTCTGAAAAATAGTTTGATAGTGGCGGACTATTAAATGGTTAAACCTGTCACAATTAGGTTTATTAGGATAGTGTGATATCCTAAAATGAGGCTGATAATGGGGCGCCTGGCTGGCTCAGTTGGTAGTGTGTGCGACTCTTGATCTCGGGGTCGTGAGTTTGAGCCCCATGTTGGGGGTAGAGTTTACTTAAAAAAAAAAAAATTAGGCTGATAATGATACAGAACAGATTGCCACAGAGACATTTTTTAAACAATTTGGTATGTTAACAGTGAATGGAAGGAATTCAGTAATTATTCAGAGAAAGGGAAAAAATGCCCTTTAAACCTCAAAGTAAATAAATCCCAGGTGGATTAAATTAGGGGTTGGCAAATTATCAGCAGCACGCCAAATCCAGCCTGCTTTCTGTGTTTCTGATTTGTTTTTGTTTTTTTGTACACTGTTCTTGTAAATAAAGTTTTATTGGATCATTGCCACATTCATTCATTTATATATTATCTATGGATGCTTTTGGTCTACCAGGGCAGAGTTGAGTAGTTTGTGGTAGTATGGCCTCCAGAATTGAAAATATTTAGTATCTGGCCCTTTTCAGATAAAGTTTGCTGACCTCTGGATTAAAGGACTATATTAAAAACAATGAAACCATTTTCTTAGCATTTTATTGTGGCAGTACAACTTTATGAGAAATCAAAGAAATCACAAAGGTAAAAACTAGATTTTTGGCATAGAAATGGAAACTTCAGTACATAAAAAAATTGTAAAAGTAAATATTGAAAAAATGTTGGTAACGTGCTACAAAAGTTAATATTGGTACATTATAATATAAGTGGATATTACAAAAAGAATTGCAGATTGAGACAACTGGGGAAAGACTTTTAAATGGCTTTTTACACAAATTGCTAGAATAAATCTAATTAGAAGTTAAAAAAAAAACTGTCATTGTGTATCAGGAACATTGACTGTATACCTTTTTACCTAGTAATATCACTTCAAGAATCCTTCCTTTAGAACATAATGCTAAGTATGAGAGTATGAGTATTCACAGAGATGTTCATCATGGTATTTCTGATTATACCAGAGGAAACAAGTGGACTGACATTGGGTTATGGTTATATATTCTCAGTGTCATGCAGGACCATTAAATTGGAGACTGAGGCCAAAGGAAAAATCAGTAATACCGATCCTGTCGTTTTATATAAGTTTTCTTGTTTTGTTCATCATGGATTGTACATTTAAAAAAATATTGCATTAAAATATTGTCTTGATTACTGAGATTTTTGGTACCTTAATTTTGTGCCTGAGGCAAGTGCCTCACTCACCTCATCCCAGTCTCATCCCTGTGTAATCTGATATGTCTATTAAATAATATATCTATCAATATTTCTCAAACGTGAGTAATGGACCAGATACCTCTTACCACAAAAAAAAAGGGGTTATGTTGGAGTTGTCTGAGAATTCCAAGAATAAGAGGTCTGCTGGGGTTTTGCAAGTTTCAATGTAATAAACAATGAATGAAAATAAAAGTTAAATCTGCCACTTACAGATTTCACAGTGAAATAATATAATTGTAAAAACAAATAACAGCACTGAAAACTTGTAGTATAACTCAGTTATATGTGGTTATTCATGATGAAAAATATGTTTATATTCGCCAAAAAAGTCATTGAAATAAATACATGGTTTTCAAAAATATTCTCTTAGAATTCTCAGACTCCCTAGAATATATCTGTAGACCTCAGGGATTCTTTGAATCCAGTTTATAAAACACCAATGTAATAATAGGCAAATGTTCAGTTGACTCAGTGATCAAGAAATCATTTTTATTAGAATGATATATTCAGTTTAATTACAACTATGTAGAAAAATAAAGCCTCTGAATACAGGAGGGGAAAAGACTGGAAAGAAATATACCAAAAGAATAACAGTGGTGGTTTTGGTGTGATGGAAACATGAGTAGAATTTTTTCCTTATTTCTACCTGTCTAAACTTTGTATAGTGTGTATTACTTTTATAATAAACAGCAACTTAACATACTGTAATAGTAAGAATTTTCAAAAATAATTTAAATATCTGGTAGTGCTACAGGCTAATTGGGTAGCTACTTTCATTTTTTACCTGTTAATTTTTCAGCATATGCAAACCTATTATACCCTTATTGCAATTACCGTTTGCTTGCTTTATTTCTTATTAATGGTAATGTAGTATGAACATTTTCTCTGCCTTGTGTAGCCAAAGTAAAATGTATTGAATGTCTGGATTTCTTTAGACACATTGTATTAATTCTTTTCTATAAGTATTTATTTATTTATTTTCTTTTTTAAAGGAGTATAGTCATGGCCAACAGCAAAAAACTCAAGAAGGGGAATTGAAAATTAGTGCTGTCTTTTCAGTCAGTGGCAGTCCTCTTGGTAAGAAACAGACCTGAGTAAATGCATCATGTTTGTTTATTCTGACCAGTAGGATGAGAGGAAGTATCTACTTGTGTTAGTAAACTAGGCAGTTCTCTGCCCATTTAGAATGGCTTTAATTATATATTGCATAATTAGTTTTGGGTTTCAACACTGGTTCTAGAAGAGAAAGAAGGATATATATCCTTAAAATTCAGACAAATAGTAAAACATTTTTTCTTTTACCTTTTTTTTTTTTTTTTTTTTAAGCTCCACAGTTGACTACTGGCTTTCAGCCTTCACTGGCGTCATCTGGCATGAATAAAATGCTTCCTTCAGTTCCAGCCACAGCTGTCCGAGTTTCCTGTTCTGGTTGTAAAAAAATCCTCCAGAAGGGGCAAACTGCTTATCAGAGGAAAGGGTCTACTCAGCTTTTCTGCTCCACGCTGTGCCTCACTGGATATACAGTTCCACCTGCCCGCCCACCACTGCCTCCCACCAAGAAAACTTGTTCAAGTTGCTCAAAGTATAGCAGAATTCTAAATTATCTTCTTTGTTTGTTTCCTTTTAAAGTACTCTGTTCTTATCTGTGTATTGTTTAATTTTCTACATTTCCATGTTTATTGAGAAGTCCCACAGCATGTTGCTGCTCTCAGGTTTTCCTTTTTTTTAAAAATTTATTTATTTGAGAGAGAGCAAGCGGGAGGGAGGGGAAGAGGGAGAGGAAGAAAGAGAATCTCAAGTAGACTTCCCGATGAGCATGGAGCCTGATGTTGAGGGGCTTGCTCTCCCGACCCTGAGATCATGTCTTGAACCAAAATCAAGAGTTGGGTGCTCAACTGACTGATCCACCTAGGCACCCCTCTCAGTTTTTCTGAATACTAGGTGCTCAGCTTATTTTAACTGCAAATAATGTGCCTTTTATATATTAAGAGATGTTTTTGAAACAAGCCTTTCCATCCTTGTTAGTTGAGATGCTTTTATCTTAGAGGTAATAGATACTTAAATCCACAAATATTTAAAGTTAATGTATCTTGTTATCTAATTGGAATTCATTTAAAACTTAACCTTTAAAAGGACTCCAGTGTATATATTTTTTTATCTTCTCAGTTTCTCTGAACTACCTCAGAGGTTCCATTTTAGTGTTGAAAATCGAAAGAATATGACCTTAGACCTTGATAAGGTCTTTCTGATATATTTGAAGAATATGAATTCATTTTGTTTGATTTGATATGGTGATTGTTAGAAACTGCTTAAATAAGTCAGAGAAAGATGAATAATGTTCTTGTTCTGAAACACTTTGGCCTTTATTATTAAGCTATTCAAACCACAGTTTAATAGTTTAGATATTTGTATTTATAGTTCCTCACATGAAACCTTCCCTTTTCTCTGTCTGGAAAGGGAAGAAGGTGCTCCCTCTTCTGGTTTAGTTGGAAAAAGGCATTTTAGAGACTTGAAAGAAATTTGAATGTGGTTAGAAGTCTTTCTGGTAGTTACGTGGCTTCCTTTTATGTTTCATGTTTGATTTAGTGAAAATAGACTTCTTTATTTATAATGTTTGAATCATAAAACATACTTTTAAAAGTGTGTACTTCATTTCTATATTCTCATATATTCATTATCAGATTCTAAGATTAAATCAACTTGAAAATTATGATTTTTATAGGTTTTTTTTCTGTTTTGCCATGAGATAATTTCATATAATAACTTCCTCTTACGCTTCTTTATTTAATTCTACTTTAGTGATTGGCACTTTCAAAAATTTCAGTTTTATTTCTTCTTTCATAATAATAGTCACAGATATTTTCAGAGATATATCAGTGAATTTTAAAATGACCGTAGAAAACTCACAGAAGTTTTAAAATGTGTGCCCTCTTTCTGTCTGTGTTTTTAAAGTCTTGTCCATACATATTATTCTTTTCATCTAAATTTATTAAATCCCTTTGGTTTGCCTAGCGTTATCTGGAGATAGGTCATTTTCACCTACGTGTCATGTCTTATCCATCTTGATCATATGTAGTTCAGTTATCCTTTAAGATTACATTTGTCTTTTGTTATGTTTGGTCTTATCCATAAATCTTCCATGTTTTCAGCCTGTCATTCCTTGACTCTTAACTCTTCTACCTCTTCATTCATTCACTTATTCTACTTAACTGTTCTACCTCTTCATTCATTCACTTATCTATTATCCTTTTTCACCCCTGTTCTTTTCCATTTGCCTCTTACTGTTCTCTATCAGGTATTCCTTACCTGCATGTCTCCTCTGCCTTTTCTTCCCCATTTTCTTTCTTTTCTCCCCTTCTCATTTTATAAGATCTCTTTTCTGTTGCTGCTCAGCCCTCAACCCCTGATCAGTCTTGATTTTCCTTGCATTGTTTTACTTCCTGAACTACTCTTTCATCTCCTTTTTACCACTTTACCTTTCCTTCCCTTGTTTTCCTTTTTTTTTTTTTCCGTTCAACACGGGCTTGAACTCACGACCTTGAGATAGAGACCTGAGCTGAGATCAAAAATTGGATGCTTAGGGACGCCTGGGTTGCGCAGTCTGTTAAGCGACTGCCTTCAGCTCAGGTTGTGATCCCAGGGTCTTGGAATTTAGTCCCGCATCGGGCTCCTTGCTCAGCAGGGAGCCTGCTTCTCCCTCTGTCTGCTGCTCCCTCTGCCTGTGCTCTCTGACAAATAAATAAATAAAATCTTTTTTTTTTTTTTTAAAGATTTTATTTATTTATTTGACAGAGACAGAGATAGCGAGAGCAGTAACACAAGCAGGGGGAGTGGGAGAGAGAGAAACAGGCTTCCTGCTGGGCAGGGAGCCTGATGTGGGGCTCGATCCCAGGACCCTGGGATGATGACCTGAGCCGAAGGCAGACGCTTAACGACTGAGCCACCCAGGCGCCCTAAATAAATAAAATCTTAAAAAAAAAAATAATAGGACGCTTAACTGACTGAGCCACCCAGGCCCCCCGTTTTCCTCTTATTTACACAGTCATTACAGCAGTTTGGGAAAGTCTGGTTTATCTGACTATAAAATTGTTCAATTGGATCGATCGTACCTTAAATATAAGGAAATTGGATTCAAAAAAGTTAAAAGATTTCCTCAGTGTCACATAGCTGGTTAATTTTGCTAACACCCCGCCCCCTGGCCCCCATATAGTCCATATAATCAAACAGGTTTGATTTGTAAGTTAATCCCTTGAAGGATCCCAAGAAGGATTTCAATTTAATTTGAATGGGTGGAGGTAGAAAAGATTTCCTTCCTGATAGCCACTATATTTATGGACCAGTAGAAATACAGCAGCAGCACTTAGGTTACAAGAAACTCAATAGCTATTTGAAGTAACAGTTTTATTTTTCTTAATCTTTTATTAACCATATCTCTTAACATCTTGAATTTAACCTAAAGTCTAAGTATATTTTGGCTAATTATCATTTAATTTTCAGGTTTCTTTAGTTATAAGGACCTAACACTGTTTTTAAAAATCTTTTTCAAATCCTCCGTAAAAGAGGTAATTTGGAGGATAAATTTTTAAATACTATTAGAAAGATCAGATTACTTGATATAATGATACTCAAAGAAGTAACTATTTCAGGATTGTCTGTATCATTTCTGAAGTTTTACTATTTGGAATCAGATATAATGTACAATAAGATGTAACGTACTTGGATGCTAGGCATACTGAGGGGAGTGAGACATATACCTACTTTTATTCTTCCTTGCCTTGATCCATGCTGCACCCCAACCCTTATCTCCTTAACCTTCTAGGAAGCTCCTATTTAAGATACAGCTAAAATGTCACCTGTTGGGTAGCCTTTCATGTCACATAGTGTCTGAAATAATTGTTTCTTCATTTCTGTTTCTATTGTACGTTATGCTTTTTCATAATGATTTCACTTTTATATATTAAGGGTGCTTCTGTTACGGTATTTTATATGTCATTTGTCTTTTTGTCCCAATATACTATGAGCTCCTGGAGTGCGTGCTTGTACCATATTGTGACACAGGGTATAGCTAGTGCCTGGCTCAATATAAGTGCTCAATAGATACTTCTATAAATGAAATATATTAAAACCTAGGGACACCTGGGTGGCTCAGATGGTTAAAGCATCTGCCTTCAGATCAGGTCATGATCCCAGGGTCCTGGGATCAAGCCTCATGTCGGGGTCCCTGCTAAATGGGGAGCCTGCTTCTTCCTCTCCCTCTGCCCCTCCCCCTGCTCATGTTTTTTCTCTTTTTCTCTCTCTCTGTCAAATAAATAAAATCTTTTTAAAAAACCCTAATTAAAAAATAACTGGGGCGCCTGGGTGGCTGAGTTGGTTAAGTGTCTGCCTTCGGCTCAGGTCATGATCGCAGGGTCCTGGGATCGAGTTGCGCATCGGGCTCCCTGCTCAGCAGAAAGTTTGCTTCTCCCCCTGCCTGCTGCTTCCCCTGCTTGTGCTCTCTCTTTCTCTCTGTTATACAAATAAATAAAATCTTTAAAAAATAAAAATAACAATAACTGTGAAGGCAAAAACAAATGCAGAACGTAGAAGAGCCTAGAGCTACTAAGTATAGAAGATGATGTATGGAGTTATGTATTATAGCATATGAGGTGTTCCTTGTGATGATTATTATGTTTACTATTATCTTTTATTGAAGCAGAGATATTTGTAATCTTTTCTAAAAAGTACTCTATTAGTGTAATCTGTTTAAGATGCAAGAATGAGTATAATGGTTTATATACTATTATGTGGTGTGTACTCATGGGAGGGAGACAACATTTAGAAAATTTCCATAAAGGCATTTTTTTTCCCATTGGCTTTTTTTTTTTTTTATTTTTAAGAGAGACAGTGAGTGTGAGCATGAGCCAGGGAGGGGCAGAGGGAGAGGGAGAGGGAGAATCTCAAGCAGGCTCCATGCTCAGCCCAGAGCTCAACTTGGGGCTTGATTTCATGACCCTGAGATCATGACCTGAGCCGAAATCAAGAGTTGGTCGCTTAACCAGGAGCCCCTTCCATTGGCTTTTGAAATGGTTTACACTTAAACAATTTAATAAACTGCTATATGGGAACACTGGTTTGGGGGTAGGATAAGGTGTAGAGTGGTAGGGGGCCTTAGAAGTGTTTTAATCTTCATTGTCTTTGCTACTCATGCTTGCAAATTAAATTATTTGAAAATAGAAGTACTCGATTTTATATAACTATGCTAGAGTATACATTGTGTGGCTTGAAATGTATTTTTACATTTATTTATTAATGATTTTATTTTTAAGTAATTTCTACACCCAGCATGGGGCTCTCTCTCACAGTCCTAAGGTTAATAGTCTCATGCTTCACCAACTGAGCCAGCCAGGTGCCCCTGTATTTTTACTTTTAAAAGGTGGTGTTTTTAAATTTTTTCAAGTGTAATATATTTTTAAAGAATATTTTGAAAATATGGAAGAGCCTAAAGAAGAAAATTAACGTCTCTTATCATCCTACCTATTAGAGATAATGAATAAAACTGCTTGATGTATATCCTTTTAGTCTTGAAACACAGTATACTAATTCTCCCAACAGTTCTATGAAGTAAGCCATGTCTTAGTTCTGTTTATAGAACAGAACTTAAGGATCAGAGCAATTTATCCGTTTACCCAGGAAAACCCATGTGTTCTTATTTAAATATCAGTGCCCTTTCCATACATATATATATAATTGTCTCTGTTTTATTTATTTATTTTAAAGATTAGAGAGAGAGCACGAGTGGGGAGGAGTGGGAGAAGCAGGCTCCCCGCTGAGCTGGGAGCCCGATATAGGGCTCGATCCCAGAACCCTGGGATCATGACCTGAGCTGAAGGCAGACACCTAACCGACTGAGCCACCCAGGCGCCCCTGTTTTATTTATTTTTACTGACAAAAAGGAAAAATACAAATGATACTGTGGCTTATTTTATTTTTGTTATCATTTTTAGAGATATTTTAAATCCAAAGGATGTGATCAGTGCCCAGTTTGAAAATAGCACCACTAGTAAAGATTTCTGCAGTCAGTCATGTCTGTCAACGTACGAACTGAAAAGGAAACCTGTTGTCACCATAAATACGAACAGCATTTCAACCAAATGCAGCATGTGTCAGAAGAATGCTGTTGTAAGTCATCTTACTTTTGGGCGGGAGGTCCAGGGAGATCTAATGTTTGTGCTTAAAAGAGCAGCTTTTAATGGTCTCTGCTTGTTGTTGGTGTGTTGTTTTTTAATTCCTAGATTCGACATGAAGTTAATTACCAGAATGTGGTACATAAACTTTGCAGTGATGCCTGCTTCTCGAAGTTTCGCTCTGCCAACAACCTCACCATGAACTGTTGTGAGAACTGTGGGGGCTACTGTTACAGTGGCTCTGGGCAGTGCCACATGCTTCAGATCGAGGGCCAGTCTAAGAAGTTTTGTAGCTCAGCGTGTGTCACAGCATATAAGCAGGTACATGACTGTATTTAACCCCAGTGTTTTTGTTCCTTTCAGGAGGATTTACTTGTTTTGGTAGAACTTACTTATGAAAATATTGTCATAAAAATACTAAGAAGTTATTTTTTTTTAAGATTTCATTTATTTGTCAGAGGGAGAGAGAGAGATAAGATGTTATTATTAGCTTAATATTTTTACATATAAATAGTACTTGTCAAATGAATGTGTATTAAAAACCCACTTGTAGAGTTTTATAAGTAGTGTATTTTTCTCTTCATGCATTTGAAATACATGCTTTTAGGGCATGGCATTTATATTTCAAATATGATTCATGTTTTTTAACAATATTTTGAAAATGCACAAAGAAGAAAAATAATGCATCTCCCAGAGATACCCAGTCTCATCTTTTTGGTGAATAGTTTTCTTTGAAATATATTTTTGGTTTGCATATAAGTGTATACTTTTTTATTTGATAAGGTAAGGTCACAAGTTACATATATATTCTTGCCATGAAATCCATATAGTTGAAATTGCAATTCAGGCAATAAAAATCTTACAATTAATTGTTTTTAAGAGGTTTTTCCTTTTCTTCATGAAATAGGAAAAATAAATGTAGGTTATATGTTATTTTGTGAATTGATGAGGTTTATAGAAGATGAATCACTTGAATGCTGTATGACAAATGTCTGTTAGGCAGTTTCATTTTTACTATATTTGTATTTTGTTAGTAAATTTTGATCACAAATTAGATTTTAAAATTCATAAGTCCAAAGGAATATTTTTAATTTTACAGTGCCTTCCTGTTTCAGTACATTAGCTGATCATTCTTTTCCTTAAATTAGTGAATCTTTATACAGTCTAACAAGATTCATGAATGTGATGTCATTTGAGAAATTTCTTTTAACGTATTCTTTTTTTTTTATTTTTTTAATATTTTTAAAGATTTTATTTATTTATTTACTTGAGAGAGAGAGAGAGAGAAACAGCATGAGAGGGGATAGGGTCAGAGGGAGAAGCAGGCTCTCCGCCGAGCCGGGAGCCTGATGTGGGACTCGATCCCAGGACTCCGGGATCATGACCTGAGCCGAAGGCAGTCGCTTAACCAACTGAGCCACCCAGGCGCCCCTTTTAACGTATTCTTAATACTTTGCAGTGATTTTGGAATTTTCAATATTATACATTGTTTCCATTTATTTCTTGTTATTATGAAGCACATTAAAGGGGCTTAGCTTTACTATTTATTCCTTCCTCTAGAAACACCTTGGTTTTACCCTCACAGGGAGAAAAAAAGACAGTATCTTCATGAGCTTATCCTTGTCCAAAAGACTTTTCTTGATATTGTTCAAGTACTAAAAGTTACTTGGATTCAGTCCATTGAAAGATGGTTCATATTCCGCAAGAGAAGGAGAAATAGGTTGAATCATCTTAATTTTAAATTATTTATTGTTTTTAATTTAGCCAATATCTATAAATTTTTCACATATTAATATGTACTATAGTGTAGAGAAAGAACGTGAATTTAGAAGTAAAGCAGATCTTGGTTTGATTCCTTGACTTTCTATTCAAATAGAATTTTACCTGGGGAAAGCTGTTAAACTCCCTGGGTCCATTTTCTTATCTGTGAATGGATATTATACTACTACTGTTACTGAGATGTTGTTAGGATTATGTGAAGTAAGAATGAGAAAGCACCTACTATAGAAACTGGCATATTGAAGATGGTCATATCTGCTGCTTTCTTTCCTTCGTCATATATAATTCATTAAACAAACATTAGATGTAATTCCTGCTTTGAGGGGCTACTGTCTCCTGGGGGAGATAGACCTACAACTAACTGAGTAGAGATGGTATGATGGAAGTATTATGGTACAGCAGGGCACAGATCAGTTCTACTTGATAGGACAAGATGAAACTATCAGCAAAATCTTCACAGAGATAATGGATACTGGGTATACTTCATAGGTTATCCTAAATGTGTGATATGTTAGTAGTATTTAGCATTATTTGCTGCTGAATCCCTAATTTTGTGGGAACTTAAGAGACTCATTGATTGCTTATATTTAGACACTTGTGATATCCAAAGTTTGCTCCAACTTTATTGCTTACTTGCTTATTGCTTTGTGTGCCTTGTTGTTATTAGTGGTAGAATATTTGGTAGTGAATTTTCTAATTTTATTCTCTTGAATTCACATTTTATTGCCATATATAGCACCTTTTGTTGGGGGGGTTCTTCTAATTTTTAGCATAGTGTAAGAGCATGAATTCCCTGTTGTGTAATTTTTTTAAATTCCATTTTTAAAACTATAGTTACAATCAATTAATAGATCCCCAAATTAATTGCCAGGTTGTAGTCAGCATTATTTTTTAATGAAATAGAATAGAATGGAAAATATAAACATGCATCACATGTTATCATAATTTATATTGTTTTATGAAACTTTCTCAGTTTTATATACATATATGTGTAATACACAAACAAAACTTCAGAAATATGTACTGGGTCACTTTGTAAAATTTATTTCTTACTGAGGATTATAATCATAAAAGTTTGAAAGCCACTAATTTAAAATATTTCAACAGTGTTAAGTATAAACATTTCAAAGAATTATGCTTTTACTTATAATTTGGTAAAAATGAATGTTATTTTATTCTCTTAATAGAAATCAGCCAAAATTACACCATGTGCGCTTTGCAAATCATTGAGATCCTCAGCAGAAATGATTGAAAATACCAATAGCTTGGGAAAGACAGAGCTTTTCTGTTCTGTTAATTGCTTATCTGCTTACAGAGTTAAAATGGTTACTTCTGCAGGTAATACTGGTTTCATAAACTATATAAGTAATAATAGTTGACAAAAGTTATGGTTATTGCTTTTTTGTATAGTATAGATTTTTGTCCAAATATAATTGATTTTTAAGGCAAATTTAAAATATTTCAGATCTGTGTTGTAAAATACCACCTCTTGCCTTGATTGCTTAAGTTATGTTTATTTATTTGCTTGCCTATTTGTGCATTCCCCTTTTCCAAAAAAATTTCATATGGCTTCTTTAATATATCTTTTTATCCACACCTGATTTATTTCCGTATTCATTTACTTTGTAGTTTCAGGGTAGACTGTGCCTACTTTAAATTAAAAGAAGTATTATTAATGTTAAGTTAGTTTTTGTTTGTATGTGACGTGATTTAGTTTCAGTTCCTGCAACTTGACCTGGCCCTTGAATTTTCATATATTGGATACTTACTTATTTTCTCAAACATTTGTGAACATTTGTATATATTACTCATTAGTTTTTATTTTGATTTGCTTAGGTGTACAAGTGCAGTGTAACAGTTGTAAAACCTCAGCAATCCCTCAGTATCACCTCGCCATGTCTGATGGAAGTATACGCAACTTCTGCAGCTACAGCTGTGTTGTCGCGTTCCAGGTACGGCGTCAAAAATCTTCCTCTGTTCCAGTCAGTGAGGTGCCTACTATGTAGTGTGTAAACTTGGTAGGTGTTTGCTCCTGCCCCGATTGCTTACACTTCTATCTCAGTCTTGTTAAACATGGATTCTTTGACTTTTGCTGTATTTGGAGGATTGTCATTTAATTGCCTCCTGTAACATTAAGTGGAATTGTTATTACCCAGATTATCTATTGGGAGGATATTATTTTTATTTTTATTTTTTAAAGATTTTATTTATTTATTTGAGAGAGACTGAGATAGAGAGCATGAG